TTTTTTTGGGTTGCATAGAAATGTTGGATATGGGATTTTCAACTTAGATGGTTGGGATTTGTTAATTGGCATTTTTTTTTTTAATTTTTGATTTTGTTATCATAGACCATAATGCTTGATGCATAATTGTTGTATGTGGTTGAAATTGTTTAATAAATGGAGCCTTATTTTGATGCTTAGAATGTTCTGCAACACAAATTAGGAAAGAAAACAATAAGGGGGAATTAGATTTTGGCCACTATCTACAAAGAAGTATTGGGCATTTCTCTTTCAAAGGTATGTTCATGTAATACCCAATGTTATGCATTTCATGAAACTTACAATGGCTAATGATTCCAACTTATGAATTTATTAAGTTTACTTAATTGGAAAACTATCCTTGCTTTCTAATTTGGCTTGGAGAGTATTAATTTGGCAAACTTCATAAGTTATGATTGATATGGTTGAGTCTAAAGACATGATTGAACAAAACAATGATTGATGAAGAAAAGGGATTTCATAATTGAAAAGAATATGATTTTCAGAATGAAAGAATAATTTGTATTGGATTTTATTTTTTCATTTAAAATAAGAAGTTAATATCTTGATGAGTTGAAACTATATACTTATATTTTTTTTCTTCAAATTATTTACTTTGATTATATGTCAGATGGATATAAAGATTAGATTGATTTGAAACCTATTAGAGTTCAACTTAATTTACAATTCATGACTCTAAAATTTATAATATACTAACATAACTCCATCTCTATAGGTTTTGAGTTTTTTTTTTCCTGGGACAAAGAATGTTCAAACTCATGTTTTTATTTTATTATTTAATCTAGCTTCAAAATCAAAATCCATTATAGAGGTTTTGCATTAATTTCTTTTATATATATATATATGTTAATGAAATAAGGAATGATAGATTAGTAAAATTGAATTTGGTGTAGGCAAAACATCTGGAGCTATTTTGCTTTAAAATTATGAGCTTAATATGTTAGATATTAAGTTTGAAATGATGAATAATGGAACTTATTTATGTTAACAAGATGAGTTTGGAACCATGCACAATGTTTTGCTTTCATAGTTAAGAACAACTCCTTTTAATTGGAAGATAGGGACAACCAAATGCAATAAAACTTTGAGATGAGAAGTTGATACAATATAATGGATTGACATGGGTATCTTTCTTCATCTTATTTCAAATTTTCTCGTTCTTAGCTATTCATGGTTATTAGAGTTTTAAGAAGAGAAGATTAAATTCATATTTGCAAGGAATCAATATGTACTAGCATTTTTTTTTTTAATGAGAACATATACCAATTTTAAGTAGGCTTAATTTAGCAATCTTGCCTTTGAAGTCAAATATAAAATGCTTGAACATTGCTACAAACATATATAGTATCTCAAAGGGGGAGAGCATAGATTGACTTTTGGATGGTTTGCAATTGATGACTAGAAAGATGGTGTTTGGAAAAGAGACACAGCTTTTAAGCTGTGCAAATTTTCATTTTGTGATTCTACAATTTTTCACATTTTAGTTTAGGGTATGAGTCTTCTTCTTCCTCTTCACCAACTTTGCCTTAACCAATTGGCTGGATATTGTGAGTTCATTTCATTTTCTTTAAATTTCTTCAATGAATTGTATTTATCTTTTTGGCCCCTTCAATTTTCTACTTCTTCTTCTTCATCTTTCCCTTTAATAAAAAAGGTGATAATTATTTCTTATTTTCTAAATCTCTTTTAACCCTCTTAGTCTGTTACAAAAATTTGAATTTAAGACTTCTGAACTTAAAATCTAAACTCTTCTATAAGTAGTAGAGATGGAAATAGATATAAAAATATGAAGTGAGAGTTGTTTACTTTGAGAATATTGTTTAAGTAGTAGGATTTGCTATACAATTTGGCTTCACATGTATTATGTTATCATGTACATGATGGAGACCTACAATCTTATCCCATAGGTTTCTTATAGCTTTAGTTGCATAATTTTCTTAATATAACTCATTATGCGGGTTGAAAACATTTTAGTCGTTTCATAGTTGCTATGGTGGCATCTGCACCTTCATGAGTGTGCTGGATGAAGAAGACTCAAGGTTTGGCCACAAAAGCACCACCTGAATATTTTATTTTTCTATTAAAAAATTATACCAACATTATCTTCCAAATGAAAAACACCAAAATTATCTGTATATTTTTCTCACTTAGATATACTCTTCTTTAGTGCCTTTATTTGAAGATGGTTTGTTGGGAAAAGGCAACTCAAGGTATTAATCCTTATTCTTTGTGGATATTCATTTTATTCTTGAAGTTTATCCAGGTTCTTATGCATTGTGTGCTTTAACTTTTAGGCCTCTTATATATCGAGAGTGTTGACATAAGATTAAAAACAACAAATGATCAATTGTGTTTCATTTTTTATTGCAAGAATCCATTAGCTATTCAAGGTTAACGTAACATAATGAACTTTACTATTTAGCCTTGAGAGTGTTTTATGAGTCTATAGTTAATATACCTTATGTTATGTGAAAATGTGTTTTAGGAAATGTTGAAGACATGGGAATTTTACATAAGAGTAGCATTATATTGGATACTCAATTGAGCGATTTGGTTGTGTGTGATTGAAAATTCCAAACTTTGATCATGAATGTGTGAGGACTTTACTTTGGCTATTATTGTATACTTAGTTGAGTCATTCTTCCTATCTCATTCTTTCATTCTTTCATCTTTTGCTTTAGTTTTTTTACTTTCTTTTTTTAACAAAACTAGAAAGATAGGAATCCATGCAATCTGAAAGCCTTGCATGGAATTCTCTATTTTCTGTTAGAATCTATGCAGTTTTATTTTTGCAAAACCTATAGAACTATAGTCTATGTTATATTATTAAAAACTTTACAAGCTCTAATACTCATGTGTTTATTTAAAATTGACCTATTCAATGTTCGGCCATTCAAAGTTAGACCTAACACCATACCCTACAACACGGGGTTGTCTAACTAACTTAATAATAAATGTAACAATAACAACATATTGTATATATAACTCACTGATCATCTTGGGTTGCGATTGAATATCTTTTTGAATCGTGCCACCTTCAATGTTATAACCACAAGTATCCAATGTTGGACATCATCCACCCTTTGAAAATAAGCATATCTTCAACTTTTCACAAAAATCAAAGTTGCCACGACTCTTCATAATCCAATTACAAAGCCTAACATCACAACAATGTAAAATCACATTCTTTTAAGTGTAGTTTTATCGTTGTCCTTGAAGCTGGCGGTTGTCGGAGGTAGTGCATCATTTGAGCATTTCTTTAGGGGTGGAGCTCCATAGAGTTGAGGATTGCCTGCATACATAGTTGGATCTTCAAGTGTTTGGAGTTTATAACCTGTTGGAATTAGCCCTAACAAGATGTTGTAGGACAAGTTGAGGTGGCTTAACTTGGTTAAACTTGACATGTTGTTCAGGATTGTTCCTGAGAGGCCATTCTTGGAGAAATTGAGAGATTCCAAATTCTCCATTTGTTCAATTTCTTAGGGATCTTTCCTAAGAGATGATTTTAAAACAGATTCAAATTGTGTGAATCCTTAAGGAAATTTAGCTCCTCTAGTATAGATCCTATTAGATTGTTCCTTGAAAGATCTATACTAATCTCAAATCTCAAATCTCAAAGTTTTTCTTGTATACTCTAGGTATCTCCCCTTCACAACCTCCATCAAAGTGGCCTCATCCCAATATGCATAATCTATGTCATAGATCAATTGTGTTGCATTCACGATAATCAAAAACTGTCCAAAACAAGGAGAAATCTTTCTTGTTAGATTGTTATCTACAAGATCCAAAATTTGCAATTGAGAGAGAGAGAGCATAGTTCCAAAGGAATATAATCGAAAACCAAATTTTTCATAGTCAGAGAACCTTTAAAGAGTGGTTGCTGATCTCGGCCTGTTACAATGCTTGTTAAATTTCCAAAAAATTTATTTTTGCCCAAATCTAAAATCACTAATGAAGTGAAGTTTTTCAAGGCCACATGCAGTCCCTTATGAAGACTATTGTTGTTCAAATGCAGTATAATTAAAGAAGAAAGCCACGCCATTATGCTCGAAAATAAACCAGAGAGATTGTTAAAACATAGATCAATATAATAGAATGATTGATTATTAATCCAACAATTAGGAATACTTCCAAATAACATATTGTTTGAGAGATCAAGAAATCCCAAAGATTTTGAATTGCATAGTGACCATGGAATATTTCCAAAGAACATATTATTTGAAAGATCAACTTCACTCAAATATTTTAAATTGCATAGTGACTTTGGAACTAAATCGTTCATGAGGTTATTTTCAAGATATAATCCCTACAACATTGGCATCATAAGACTTATGTTTTTTAGAAAAGGACCTGAGATGCTAGCATTAGAGAGATCAATCATGATTTTTGTCTTTTGCAATTGAAGCTATGCATGAAATCTTGTTCCAAATTGATTGTTAGAAAGATCCATTATCTCTAACTGAGGAAGTTGCCCGATGCTAGCTGGAATACTTCCACTCAATTGATTGTCGGAAAGATATATTCCCACTAACTTAGAAAGTTGTTCGATGCTAGCTGGAATATTTCCACTCAATTGATTATTAGAAAGAGATATGTTCACTAACTTAGAAAGTTGCAATATACTATCTGGAATACTCCCATTCAATTGATTACCAGAAAGATTTATTCTCTCTAACTTAGAAAGTTGCCCGATGCTATCTGGAATATTCCCACTCAATTTATTGTTAGAAAGATCTATTCTTTCTAACTGAGAAAGTTGCCCGATGCTATGTGGAATACTCCCACTCAATTGATTGCCAGAAAGATGTATTGTCTCTAACTTAGAAAGTTGCTCGATGCTATGTGGAATACTCCCACTCAGTTGATTGCCAGAAAGATCTATGCTCTCTAACTTTGAAAGTTGCCTGATACTATGTGGAATACTCCCACTCAGTTGATTGCCAGAAAGATCCATGCTCTTTAACTTTGAAAGTTGCCCGATGCTATGTGGAATACTCCCACTCAATTGATTGTCAAAAAGATGTATGCTCTTTAACTTAGAAAGTTGTCCGATGTTATCTGGAATACTCCCACTCAATTGATTGCCAAAAAGAGATAAGCACTCTAACTTAGAAAGTTGCCCGATGCTATCTGGAATACTTCCACTCAATTGATTGCCAAAAAGAGATATGCCCTTTAACTTAGAAAGTTGCCCAATGCTATCTGGAATACTCCCATTCAATTGATTGCCAACAAGATATATTCTCTCTAACTTAGAAAGTTGCCCGATGCTATCTGGAATACTCCCACTCAATTGATTGTCAGAAAGATATATTCTCTCTAACTTAGAAAGTTGCCTGATGCTATCTGGAATACTCCCACTCAATTGATTGTTAGAAAGATGTATTCTCTCTAACTTAGAAAGTTGCCCGATGCTATCTGGAATACTCCCACTCAATTGATTGCAAAAAAGATGTAGTCTCTCTAACTTAGAAAGTTGCCCGATGCTATTTGGAATACTCCCATTCAAGTGATTGATAGAAAGATGTATGCTCTCTAAGTTAGAAAGTTGTCCGATGCTATTTGGAATACTCCCAATCAATTGATTGAAAGAAAGATGTATGCTCTCTAACTTAGAAAGTTGCTGGATGCTATCTGGAATACTCCCACTCAATTGATTGTCAGAAAGATGTATTCTCTCTAACTTAGAAAGTTGCCCGATGCTATCTGGAATACTCCCACTCAATTGATTGTTAGAAAGATCTAGGCTCTCTAACTTAGAAAGTTGCCTGATGCTATCTGGAATACTCCCACTCAATTGGTTGCTAGAAAGATTAAGACATATCAAGGAAGTCATGTTTTGGAAAAATATCGGTATTGAACCTTGGAAAAAGTTAGCTGAAAGATCTAAGTGTTGAATATTGCCAAGCAATGTAAAATTAAGGGGATGGTTGTGAGATGGCAAGTGACAATTTTTGAGACTACAGCTTGACAGACTTAATTGTGATAGGGAAGGAAGCATGCCAAGTACTTGAAACAAGTTTGATGATGTAAGGCTTAGATTTACTCCACTCATATCAAGAAATGTCAATGAAGTCATGTTTTGGAGAAAAATAGGTATTGGACCATGAAAAGAGTTCTGTGAAATATCAAAGTGTTCAATATTTCCAAACAATGTAAAATTAAGGAGATGGTTGTGATATGGAAGGTGAGAATTTTTTAGATTACAATTCGACAGACTCAACCATGATAATGAAGAAAGCATGCCAAGTACCTGGAACAAGTTTGATGAGGCATGGTTTAGATTTACTCCACTCATATCAAGTTGTTGCAAAGAGGAGAGACGAGAAATCCACTGAATGTCATCATCAACCTTCAATCTCCCATAATAATTATGAGAAAGATCAAGAACATGAAGCCTTGTAAGATTTCCAAGTTCACTAGGAATTCTCCCTTTGAATTGCGTATAAGAGAGATTTAGGAATCGCAGCTGCTTCATCGAGCCAAAGGAAGGTGGAATAAGATTACCACTGAAATTATTGTTGCTCAAGTCTAGGTGTTCCAAGTGTCTCAGCTTGAGCAAACTTGAAACAACCTCCTCTACATGGTCAATCAAGTACAATTGAGGTTGTTGATCGTCAATAAAGTGCGAATAAAGTCGATCAGGTACTGATCCCCTGAGTTGAAGTGAGACAACATATTGGTTATTTTTGTCACAACCTACTCCTCTCCATTCACAACAGTCATTGCCTCTCCAAGAAGACAACATACGAGATGGATCATGGAAACATAGTTTGAACTTCAAGAGGGCTTCTCTCTCCCTTTCTATACAGCTAAAGCTCGTGTTCCGACTGGAACAAAGCTCTGCAGCTTCAAAGAACAATACAATAACTAGAACAAGCATAGCACGGAAAGTTTCCCTCATAATGATGGTTTCAATATTGTATGGAAGATGGATGTGATATTTAATTTTGCTTGTACATTAATATATAGTCCCATGGATAGGCAAATAAAACAGCTTTCCCCGAAGTTACACTAAAGATAAAGATTCCGAGTAAGTAATTTAAAGTAGCCTATTTTTGTATTTCGATCATGATCACTCGAGCGCATTCGCCAAGACTTGGAAGTCTTTTTGGTCCTTGTTGCTTTAAAGTCAATTTAACTGGGGCTTTCATTGTCCTTTTGCCCCACCATAATAATAATATAGCTTTTACAGGTCTTGTGCTACTGTTGTGCAACGTGAAGACCGGAAAAGTTTGAAAAATGGTTTTCAATTCTTGGAGATGACTATGGTTCGTGAAAATTTCTTCTCATTTTACCAATCATGGAAATTTTTGGTCATCATGATTATGGTTTAAATATTGTGTGGAAGATTAGATATTTAGATGATTTTAATTTTTTTTCTTTGATAATGGATGATTTTATTTTTATTTCTTTTGATGAACGGATGATTTTTAATTTTGGTTGCACATTAATATTATAATGACAAATCTTAAGCTCTTGAACTTACCCTCTTCTTCGACGCTAAACTATCTTTCTAGACTTCTTTTAAGACTTACAAGCCCTCAACTCTGCTAATTATGCAGTCGGAAACCCTTTGTTAACGGTTCCGCTAGTTTCCGTAAAGAAATCTAATCACAGCGGTCAAAGAAAAAGGTTAAATTGTTGTTTAGTCAATATACTTTCATATTTAACAAAAATAAGTTCTTTCATTTTCAACTAAATTTGCTAAAAAAAAAATTAAAACAAGAAATAAAAAAAATAATCCTATGATAAAAA